ATTTTTTCTCTCTCCACTATTTTTCAAAAACTATCCATATAATTACATTTATTCAAAAACTTATTATTAATTATTTATTTATTTTAATACACAGAGGAAGAAAAAGTCTTTTTTATGCTAGTATATCGATAATTTATATTCATACTTTAGTTATATAGTATTTTAATTAATAAAATTTTAATCATATTTAGAGTCACTATTTCGCTTCTTTTTTTTTCTTATTTGATGAGGTATAACTCATTTCCAAATGTATGGATATGTCATATGTATGAGCAAGTATATTAAATAAAAACATGAAAATAATAAGTTTTTTTTTATTCATACTATGGTCACAAATAATTAAAATAGTTTCACTTGAATTAAACATGGCAAATCACATAATATAACAAAGTCAAGATTAACTCTTATTGCGTTTTTGCTTGTATATCCAATGGAACTGATGAAAAAGGATTTGTCTTGAACTAACTGGTTTCATATACTAATAACAAGTATATTTTATATTTTGTTAACAAAATAAATTAATCTTAAAGATATCTTAATCTTAGATAACATCATCTGACTTGGTCCTAAAAGCAACTTTCACTACCTTCTTTTGTTTGTCTAACCAATGGAACCGATGAAGGACAAATTGGTTTCATTTATTAATAAAAATTAAAGGAATATAGGTTACAACAATTATCTTTCCACGTCGCGGTTTCAATTCTTCTAAACAAAGCTGATGTGACGTTAAGTTTGTTTTGTTCGTAGTGTTTTTGTGGATAAATATTGTTATGTAGATTAAGCTTACACATATTAGCCAACTGTGTAAATTACAATTAAATAAAACTTATCTGTTGTCTCTAATATACAATAAGAGTCTTTTACCCAAAAAAAAATACAATAAGATTTATATAAAATTGGTTAAAACCCTATTTTGGTCTCTTATAATCTTTTTTTGTTTCAATTTAGTCCCTTATTAATTTTTTGTCTCAATTTGGTCTCAAATTAATTAATTGGTTTCAATTTAGTCCTAAATTAATTAATTGGTTTCAATGTGGGACTTTCCGTCCAAATTGCTTTAACGGTGTTAACTTTTGGCCACGTGGACGCCACGTAGATGCATACGTGGCATCCACGTGGATGAGAATTTGAAACTGGAACGAGCCGTTCTGGTTGCAAAATTAAAACACCACCAGTGAAGCAGAACGGGACGTTCTGAAATCAGAACGGGCCGTTCTGCTTTCAAAACGGGCCGTCCGTTCTGATTTCAGAACGGCCTGTTCCAGAACTGTGAATAAAATATTCTTTACTTAATTATGTTTTTGATATTATAATTATGCAATTTTGATCTCTAAGGTTTTAATTGAGTAATTTCAGTCCTTAAAAGATTATAATTGTGTAATTTTAGTCTCACAATTTTTAATTGAACGATTTTAATCTCTCAAATATCATAATTGTGGAATTTTAGTCTTTCTCATTAAAAATTTAATAATTTTAAAATTTTAATATATATATATATATAATGTTTTAAAACTATATAATTGTTTGTTTATTTAAATTAACGTATATTATTTTTTTTAATGTATCAAATGATATATATTTACTATTACTAAATAAATAAAATTTATATATTATTAGTATTTTAATATTACTGATAAATTAATATCAATAATATTTTTACCCTTTTTATAAATAAACTAATAATTTGATAAATATAACTTAATATATATTAATATACTTTTACAAAAATATAAATATATAAGATCAGATATATATTTCTAATTAATATACTTATATTTTTGTAAAAGTATATTAATATATAACAAGTTATATTTATCAAATTATTAGTTTATCTATAAATATATTAATAATATTATTGATATAATATCGAAAATTATAATATACGTTAATTTGAATAGATAAATAATTATTTAATTTTAAAATATTATATATATATATATATATTAAAATTATTAATTTTTAATGGGAGAAACAAAAATCATACTATTATGATATTTGAGGGACTAAAATTGTTCAATTAAAAATTGAAGGACCAAAATCGCGCAATTGCAATTCTTTAAGGACTAAAATTATGCAATTAAAATCTTGGAGATCACAAAACTGCACAATTGTAATACTTGAGGGATAAAAAATGCAATTAAACCAATATTCTTAATTAATTTTATTAAAAAATATAATAATTAATAAGATAAAAGGAATATCACTTTATAATTTTTTGCAACTTATTTAAGATTAAAGGAATAAAATGATAAAAATTAATAAGATAAACATAATAAAATAAAATATAAAAAAATATTAATATATTTATTTTATTGGATATAATAACATAATTAAAATATAATTAATAATATATATTTTATAAAATTATTAATATTTTATATATAAAAAATAAAATAAAACCGGAACGGCCCGTTCTGAAACTAGAATGGGCCGTTCTGGTGCATTTTGGGTGTGTTAATTTTGCACTTGGAACGGGCCGTTCCGGATGCAAAATTAACACACCAAAAGTGCACCCAGAACGGCCCGTTCCGGTTTTAGAACGGGAAGTTCTGGGTCCAGGTGTTTTCAAAAAAATTCTCATCCACGTGGATGCCACGTATGCATCTACGTGGCGTCCACGTGGCCAAAAGTTAACACCGTTAAAGCAATTTGGACGGAAAGTCCCACATTGAAACCAATTAATTAATTTAGGACTAAATTGAAACCAATTAATTAATTTGGGACCAAATTGAGACCAAAAATTAATGAGAGACTAAATTGAAACAAAAAAGATTATAAGGGACCAAAATAGGGTTTTAACCTATAAAATTTATTAATGCAATAATTAAATTAATTAGAGGATAAAACGTGTCTTCTTGTAAATATCTCAAACTTTTAATCTTTTAATATTCTTTTATTTTCTTTTATTCATACAAAGTTTTTTTTTTTAATGATCTCTATCACTGTTAATATACATATCATATACCATTATAAATATAAATCAACTTGAATTAATATAATAAAATATCAAATAATTTTTAAATTTTATAAAAAATTACAAACTTAATTTATTTAATAAATATTTTTAATTTAACGATTAAATCATTAAAATTTAATAAAAGTGAGTTATTAAATGAAATAACTTTATAAAAAATTATTTTTGAAGTTATATATATATATAATGTTATTATTTAATTAAAATCGATTTTTTTACTCTAATGATCTATATTGATATAATTGTAGAAGTTATCAAAAATAAAATTATAATTTGAATTGAAAAACAATATCAACATACTTATAATATTATACCTAAATTTTGTCTTATATACAATAAAATTAGGGTGAAAATATATGTTAGATCACGCATGAGTGAGTTTTTGGTTCGCTCACTGTATATTTTCCTCGACCCAAATTTATTTACTAATTACTAAATAAACCAATTTAAGCTTTTAAATAAAGTTTAAAAAGTTAAGTTTTAAGCTTTTTAAAAATATTTTTATTTTTATCTATACTTGGTGATCCATATAGTAAAAAGCTAAATTTCTCTAAAAACAAATTATTGAATTTTAGTTTCATAAATAAAATAATAATTAGTGCTATATATTCATGTCATTAAATGATTCCATCCGATTCAATATACAATTTCACCCTTGGAAGTGATAAGTTGTTAACCTTTGGCTTTTACAATTTAAGTTCTCAAAATTTTGAATTTACTCACTTTTTATTCTATCTGATGGACTAAAAATGAGTATCATTAAATTATTGGAAGACTAAATTGTATAAAACAAACATTGAAACAACTTGTCACTTATTAATCATTATATATTAAATACAAAAACTATTAATTAAGAGTATTTTTTTAAAAATAAAATTTTGATGAAATATTTTTTTAAAAAAATTAATTTATTATTTAATTCAAATTTTATTTATCATAATTATTTATCAATTAATTTTTAATATTTTTAAAATAAATTATAAATAAATAATATATTAAAATTTAATTTATTATAATTTTTAATTAACTCTATATGTAACGATCCGGCTGGACATTACACACTGTACAACAAAAAGCACCACACAGAGAGAACAAGTATATATATATATACACAAGGTCCAATCTGAGCTAAACATCAGAGTAAACAAATTACATCCAAAATAGCCAACTAGTGGCCAAAAACAACAAAACAGCAAACTTCCATCTGCCAGCTGCAGACATGCCTCAAGACCAGCCTAAATCATATGCTACGACATAAAATATCTATCATAAATCTAAAATATAATTTATATATATATATAATATCTATTTATATAAATTTTAAATATAATTCATATATTTAAACATAACATTATAAATTTTAATTATATAATAAACATTTAATCTACGCATTACATATACTAATATACTTACATACTAGTTCTAAATTATGAATCAATTCATTATTATTTATTCATGCAATTAACATAAGTTCACATTGATATTAAAGCTTTATTTTAGTAACTATTGTGAAGATTAACATTAAAAGTCGTATTAGTTATTAAAGTGAAATTTTAATTTAAATTAGAAGTCAGGATTAAAAGCAGACAAATGTATTATACTTAGCATTTTTTTTCCCCCAATTATCACAACACTGTTTCATGATAAATAGCTATATAAATATTTATATAAACAACCATTTTCTATTCAAATAACAGTGTATTACTATTAATTATCGTTCTTTTGAACTTACAAGTTTAAAAATATTAAAAACACGTCATCATCCGTCCTATATTCCTTGATCCGGAATATCCACGAGGTAACTTGCATGAGACATAGCTTTCGTTGGAACTCTGTTTAGAAAAACAAATCACTAACTGGATGCCTTGGACAAACATGGTTTATCTCGATTGAGAATAATTCTACAAGTTTTTCCTTGCAGCAATCCTCAGCTAGAAGTAGAACCGTATTAGATTCGCTTCTTTAACAAAAGTCATTGAATCTCAACCATTAGCAATCTGCATCAATATCATACCACTAAAAAACGTAGCCGAAAAGGATACTGATTGCTTTTTGCCAAAAGGATATATTCTTCCAATGACAGAGAAAAACAGTTGATACTGATTAGTCTTTTATGTGTTCTAATTCTATAAAGTAATTAAGATTGTCATATTCATCATCCAGATAAACAGTATGTAGCCACGGAATTACATACGTAATTTACATAGACTCCAGGACTAAATATTTCATTGCACGGGATTGTATTATCCAAATATCCAGGTTCAGCACCACCTTTTCGCCTTAAGTGGGTAAAGCAAGGGGAAGAAGGTTGGGTTGTGAGGGTTAACAAGTAACAAAATAACATCAGTACTTGTACTTCATTCGATATGAGAAAGACCCCCGCCACTTTCAGCACGTGTCCTACAATATAATTAGTGTTAGGAATTATGAAAAAAACACAATTATAGCTAAGTGAACCTCATGAATCCTAGGCTTTCAACCATTGCAATGTACAAAGTATGCAATTTATGGATACTGCAGGCATGCACACGCGCGTGCACACACACACACACAAAAGTAAAGGGGGATGGGTGAGAGTTGACCTGGGACTCACATGCATGGGCAACTATGCTTCACAAGGGCATCAAGACGATTATGTAAGCAAACAACATGCATCATTACAACCAACAAATGTTGTTGGGAATGTGCCTTCATATGTTGTCAAAGTAGTTTTGATTTTTAGTTTGAATTACAACCAAGAAATGTTGGGAATGTGTCTTTAGATGCTGTCAAAGTAGTTTTGATTTTTAGTTTGAATAAATCAAATAGCTAGTTGATAAAAATATGTTATTGTATTGTTAGTAGATCAGTTAATTTCAGATTTTATTCTTTAGTCATTATTAAAAACTCTTAAAATCATGGAATATGATTTTTATTCAGTTATTTCAATATATTTAAATATAAGTCATATTCAACAAAATAAGGTACGTTTTGCATTGAAAAACAAAGTTACATTGTTTCCTTGCACTATTGCTTATCTTTATCCTAAGACTAAAACCAACAAATGCATATAAATCTTGATTTGGTGCCTAAGTGCCTTTCTAAACTTACATGGTGAGCTGTAAATCTTTAACGGGTTCTAGCAGTTGGACACATTCAGAGGATTAAAAGCAACTAAATTGCAGAAGCTATATACAAACTAAGATTATGAACTTTGCAGAAGAAAATTTCTAGAGAGCAGTGATTAGCTAATAGGACAAGATATGTTGCAGTTAAGCAAATATTGGGATAAAATAAAAATGCCTAATAACTAATTTGGAGAATCCAATATCATTGTTGTGTCCCCAGTCCCCACCAACTTTCAATGAAATGAAATTAGACTTGCTAGTTGCTAACCTCCTCAATGTAAACAAAATGGAAAGATATATAAAAAATAAATTAACAATATAATAATACCAAGAGTTCAATACTTACTTGTGGTCAGAAGGATTTGGCATAAGCTCATAGACAATAGTGGCAACAACATCCCTTTTTAACTGCACATTAAACAAAAAAGTTAATAAGCTGACTAGACTATAAACAATCAGTAACCATGAATTTAGCAGTTAAAGTACCTGAGTGGCTTGGCCTTTAAAGCCAATATAGTGTATTTTAGTTGTGTCACCTCCAAAATTCTCAGGAAAGTGCAACGTAATATTTGCCACACTTTGAAATTTAGAATATCTAGTCAAAAGGATCAATACATTAAAAAACCATGATGCCAGAAGAAAATTCCAATTCCACAAAGCATTACTGCTCCTAATTAGTTATAGTATGGGGATATACTACATTAATACCATTAATACAACATAGGAAATGCATTGCATACATGTATTATTGCCTTATTGAATTTTCACAATGTTTTCTGGCATTAGTGTTTGCAGAAAAGGCCTAAGTGATGGAATTACTAAAATAAGTATGTAAATTACCTTGTCTGGTATTCCAATACTCCTTGCATATTCTCAACCAAATCCCATTCCTTTAAAGAGGAAAAAAAATGTTTCATAAGGTTGTGTGTGTATTCGTCAAATAATCCCTTGCAAACCTTAAAAAAAAACTATACCTGAAGGGCTTGCATGCTTTGTGCATCTGAAAAGTCAATGCCTTCTCGATTGATGAACCTAATTAAAGTTGAAGTGTTCAGTCATTTTGTGTACGAGAGTATTTACAACAAGAAAATATTATTGTAATTGAATATTATTGTTTATATTCCAAAGTACAAAATGTCATATAGTGGTGGTACGGAGTCTGTTGACTGTAAAGGAGATACTTGGAAGACAGATTTTAAAAGCCCTGTGGATCCAAATACTATGCAAAAGTAAGTAAAAGTAAAGAGGCCAGCAAATATATACTGCCAGTTTCATCTTTCGTCTTACAACTTTTCCTCCTGAGATTAAATTGAACAAAAAAAGGTTTGCTCATGATAAAATGCACGAGAAAGTTCATTCAGTATGAGCATTTACTAAGATATTCATACTGGTTGCCCTGATATCCAACTGAGAATATAAACAATTCAACCATACAAGTAGTAACTGAGGATACCACTATGCAGGCAAACAAAAAGACACAAAAATCAAACAGCGTAGAAGATGGGGGAAAGGATAAAGAGAAGATGGTATCTAAAATAGATACAAGACAAGGGAAAGGATAACAGAGAAGATGGAATCTTAAATAGACGTTGCCACATAAATAATGAATGATACAAATACATTTAACAGGCTGGACAGCCTTGACTTGACGAAAAAGATAGTATGACAATCGTGAAACAATCAAAGATAATAAATGACACGGAAGGAATATTAAATGGTAAAGCAACAATATTAATTTTAAGCTCAGTTGTTGTGAAAGCCAAAGACAAACCAAAAGCTACAGTTGCAGGGGCTGGTACATTTTTCTTATCCTAAAATAGAACTATTTTCAGGAATCATTACCAAAAACTACACATGAAAAAAGTTAATCAAATACAAATTATACAATGTAGCTGCTTCAAAAATCAAAACCATAAAACTTACACTCTCATCTTTGAAGGACTTGTTCCATCAGCTCCACCAACTATGGATATGCTCTTAATCTTGACATCTGAAGTAAATCTGTCTTGCACAGAAGCATAATGGAAGATGTTACAGCTAAGTTGTTGCGATTACTGTTTTTAGCAGACAGTTGATCATATAAAGGAAAAGCTTTTCAATGAAAGGAAGCACGATTCAAGACATATTTAAACACAAAAACACGTATATGTTTCTTCTTATTTAAAAATTGCATAATATTAACAGAAAACTTTATACAGTTAATGTCAAATGGTCTCTCGGATTCATGGAACATGTGTGTATGGGGGGAGGGGTTGGGATCATAAAACAGAGCATACTGTTATCAAGAAAGTATTTTCTTCTTTTCCTTTTTAACATCAAAAGCATATGTTGCTAGAAGCGTATTATGTAATTCAGTCCAATTTTAAAGAATACTTTATTTATTCACAAAATGGGTGGGGCAACATCAATATTCCATCTGACTATTTTTAACCAATAAACCAGAAATAAACTGTTTTAAATAACTTTGCCCTCCTATGTGCCTATCTACTGAATATTTCAATATCTTAGAGGCAGGTAGGATACAGGCATTGAACTGTCTCATACGAAATTTAATTTATACACATTAAAGATAGACTGACTCTTACACTGCACGCATCAAGGATAAACAACTACATTATACTCACATTTCAAAAGTAAAACATTTCAATGATTTCATTATATAACAAGATTTTCTTTAATCTACCTATGTTTTTGAAAAAAAGATACAAAGCTTTTCTCCTAAATAAGTCAAACATACGGGTTGCCAATTCCGGGGTTGAAAAATTTCTTGGCATTCTAGGGCATTAAAATGGAAGTATGAAAGTATCTGAAAAATGAAAATTAAAGACATAACAAACACAAAATGGACAATTTACTCGCTGTATTTTACATGTCAAGAATCAGCACACATACTAACACAGCAACAAAGGAAAATATCCGATTAAAAATAGATAACAAACACATTCAATATATCCGATTAAAACTAGAGGGGGAAAAAAATTGAGTAAGACATAGCAACTTACGGAATGAAGACAAGTAACTCGGGATCACCCTCATTGCTTTCCAAGTGTTCCTGTTGAAGCCATTATTACAGATTAAAGAGCAGAGTGCAGAAACAGTGAATTTTAAAACTGAAGCTGGTAATTGCCGAATGCCATTACCCCGGAAGAATTGAGACGCT